TTAACGATGATTCAATGTTTAAAAATTACTGAATATCAAGCCCTGGTAATTGAAGCTTTGAATCTTTCTGCTGGAGCAAAAATCTTAAGAGAGGAGTAATGTAACAGGATTGGATTAACGAACATGATGCAGTATATTGCAGATCTAAATGTCAGATATATTAGACATATTTGATATATTTGATATATTTGATATATTAGACATATTTGATATAATTGATATCTTTGACATATTGGACATATTAGATATATTTGATTTATTTGTTATATCCATCTATGTATTAATTTAATATAAATAGAGAGTCATAAAATCATGTAAACGGTAGTTCACTCATAATTCACTTTTAGTTTTCTTTTGGTTTTGCTTTTAGATATACATCTAGTAGTTCTTATAGAGGCGTTTGGCCTAAACATCTTACTTAGTACTTTAACTCTCTTGGTTTCTTTTTGTATTCTTTCTTATTTCCTTATTTTTCTATTATTATCTCTTATCTTTATTTGTATTATCATCAATAAATATATTATTATATCTCAGAATCAATTGAGCTGCCTTACTCCTAGCCTTATCGTGAATACACTACCGTGTAGATTATAAATTTTGAGTTAAACTGAATTGAGTCATTACATAAACTTAAAAAAATTACCACTCGAACACTCTGTCTAACAGTTGCAATTCATAAGAATTGCACATTAACAATAGTTACAAAGACATCTGAATCCTTTTCAAGTTTGACTACCCTTTTTCTAAGATGATCTTTATGTTGTTATCTAGCCAGGAGTATAGCAGACGATACTTGATTGATAGGCTTAAGAAAATCAGTTAGGCGGTCCCTCTGAGACTCTATTATTTCTTTAGGAAATATATTCATTACTTCACAAATAGGCTCATTTGATTCAAAATGCTTACTAGTCTCATGTTCATCAATTATTGGCTTAAATGTTTTAGAAATCTCAAATGTGCCAGATGTAATTCCTTTAGGATCTATTAAGGCAATTAGAGCTTTAGTTTATTCTATCATATAGTCGAAAAGGTTTTGAGTCACATCGCTCTTCTTATCTGCTTTCTTATCTTTACTAGTATTAGGTGAAGGTGTATTCTTTTCTGAAAGAGTCAAAATTATTTTTGGAGGAATAATTTCTAGCACATTGAATATGAATATGTCTGCTGTCTCATTTTTGGATAAGTTGGATTGAGATGTATCAGAAAATTCTTTGATATTGTCTAAGCTAGATTCATAAAGCTTGGCTACGATCTTAGAATGATCAAAAATATACTGATATATTCTTACTCCATTATTTCGTGAATGTGCTCAATCGATGCTAATTTGTGAAAACTTCTTTCCTAAAATAGCGCTATTAAATAATTTTTTCCCATTCTCCTCACACCATTTAACATAATTCTGATATAATAATGTACAGCTTAGCTTGGATACTTTACCCTTATACCATAGGAAATATAATTGATTATAAATTGAATGGGATTAAGTAGTTGGTTTCGCATTATATCTGATTTTATTTTGAGAAATTAAGACTAAGAAGATATTTTATGATTACGCTAGGTATATCAGAATAGTTAAGTATATTTCCAGTTTTTTGAAATACTTTGTATTTCCTTTATAGCATAGGAAGACATCAAAATACATTACACAAGAATCTCCTATATCTATTTTAATTAAGACGTTCTAATTACTTGTAACCATATATCTGGTGAAATCTTTTAATCGCTTAGTTTCAAGACCTTTTCATTTTATAGTTACCCTCCCTTCTATTATGAGAGATTTAAGATGGTCATTAAATTTATGCTATTCCCCACTAGACATTCCAGTTTCATTTATAACAATAAACTTTCAGACTTAAATGTTACTATTAAAATGTTTAAAAATTTTTTTCAAATCTGATATAGCAAAATAGAGATGCTCTCCTAGAATTTTATCACCAATAAAATCTGTAATAATAATTTTTTCACACTGTTGTAATGTAGATTTTAGCACTAAAATTGTTTGAGACTTCTCTGCTGACTTTTGCACTAAGAATGCCTACTACTTCCAAAGATATTTGTGAAGCTTTACATTTTCAGCACTGATTATATTTTTCGTATACAAAAGAATGGCATCCATAATTTCTTTGTTAATTTTTATCGCTGGTTTAACCAAAAATCCTAGGAAAAGGTTAAAGAAATCTGTATTTGGTTGAGAAACATTTATGGGATATGAAAGGAAATTATAATCTGCATAAACTATTAGACCTTAATTACTGCCTGATTTATCAATGATTTTAATTTTATTGATTCCCCTATACTCAGTTATATTAATTTTGAAATCAGCAAGTTTTAGTTCAGCTTCCATATTAAAGTAAAGCCCATTTTCTGAATCTCTATGTTTTAATATCCAGACTGATTTATTCAATTAAATATAAGCAATAGTTGATTGGATTGCTTTATAAACTTTAGCATAAAAATATTTCTTACCTGAAGTGTACATATATATTAAATTCTATCACACAAAATGATCATTTAGGTTTGAAATTCTGGATTATTCTAATTTTATTGGAGCTGAAAGGTTCTTTTCTTGGCTCAAAGTCGTCTCACTAAGAGTAAGCTTTATTAAAGACTTTCTTTCGCCTAGTGGCCTTTTCTAGTCTGCACAATAGCAATGAAAACTATAAAACCTTTTATATTGAATAATATATTCATTTTCACTTGTATGTTTCTGGTCATATAATGAATAATATGATTAGCTCATACATTTGAGAGAAAAGATATTAGGAAATGATTCTGATGGATATAAAAGGTTAAATCCCTCAATACTGACCTTTCTGAGTAATTCTTCTACTAATTTGAACTCAGTCTGATTAGTTTCACTATTTATATCATTACATATTTTGACTTTTAGTTCTGAAATATCTAAAAAAAAACTTTTAACGACTTCTGATTCATCATTAGGCGGGCGAATCATAAAATCAAAGATAGTCTTATCTTTTAGATAAACAGCTTTTTTACATGAATATGTTCTTTCATTTCTTTCTTATACTTAGGTGATCCAAGCATCTGCAAGGAGAAAGACCTTTTATTTGCAATATTATCAATAATGGTTTTCTTCTGTAATCCTGCTGGGAGTTTCTTGTGAACGAGTTCAGTAAATACTGCAACCTGAGTAATATTTGCAAGCCTCATTCCAGTAGTAGAGATGTGAAGAGAGATTTTATTTTCAACACTACTACTGGTAATGGTTATACTTTTTTTATCTCACTTCAGATTTATTTCTAAACAAACATCTCTAAAAGCATTCTGAATAAATACATAGGCCTCTTTGCGCATAATTTTAGGAGTAATAGCATTTAGCATTTCTATTAGTAAATCAAAATCTATAATAAGATGAAGTGGCCTATTCCCATTAATGAATTCATATAATGAATGACCCTCATGATCTAAAAGAATAGCTTCAATATCATCCTCATTATCAGCTCTGAGATTCATCTTGGTCTAATACTATCATCATGAATTTTATATAAGCATTTACTCATATCTTCAGCTTTAAAACTTTATTTGTATGAGGTGAGGGCGTCAAGGAATTCTGAAAGCTCAGAATTGGTCATATTTTAGATATGTTATCTAATATTCCGTTTCAGTATAATACCCTAGTAAAAAAGTTAAAAATAAAAAATAAATATTATTATAGATGTCAAAGATTAACTGATCAAAGAAAGAATAATACTGAAGATAGATGATTCTGATGATATATTTATTTTCATTGATAATTACATTGCGAAGGGTGAATACATTTGTCAGTATCGTTTTAATGAAGAGATGGTTTGTAAAAATCTCGCAGAATGACTAGAAGGATATCATATTCATTGAAAAAGATGTCAGTAACCTCTATGCAAATAAGATGGGTATGTAAGACCAATAGCATCAAAATATGAATATTGTAATTTGCATGTAAATAAATCCTATTCAAAAGCATATTATTACTGGAAGAAATTAGAAAAAATGCTTCAAAATGGATAGACACCAGAAGCATTGGAAGAGGCTCTCAATAAAATAAAAATATCTGATATAGTAAAGTGCTGACCTTAGAAAGTTGTCCCTAGAAAAAATACAGGAGACACTTCTAGGGATGCTGAAAGTAAGCTTTTTGATATTTTTAGAATTCTGGAAAGACTTCTAGATAGATGTCTTAGCGTCCTTAGTGTTCTTAAAAAAAATCAGAACACTTAACCTTTTTTTTATTTTTTAAGCATACGTATATTATGCATATATCATCTATATAGTATTCATTATCAACATTAAAAAATTTGTCCTAGAAAAATGATCTACAAAAAATCTTTAGATTTAATTTTATATAGATCATATTAAGGAAGATTTTGATCGACGTATTGCATTGAAAAATTATTTAATTTGAAGGATTTATAAAATTCACCTGATTCGTCTGTTTCTTTTGTATTTTCTATACAGTTTGTTTATTCTGTTTACTCTATTCGTCTGTAATTTCTTTAACATCTATACCTTATTTTATTTCTTTTTATTATTTTTATTATTTATATTATTTTTATTATTTTATTATATTTACGTATATTTTTATTATAACATATATATATTTAGTTAATTTATAGTGTAGCTATAGCAAATTAATTTTGTATAAATAGAATAGCTTTTTGCTTAAATTGTAAATTAACTCAGTTGTAAGTTTATAAATTCATTTGTAAGTTACTTACAAGTTTTAAGTTATAAATAAAGGAATCAACTTAAATCTATAGAAACTACTTTTTCCTTTAACATTGTTCTTCACCTAGGATTATTGTGATACCCTATACTAACTTGCTATTGAGTTTATCATTACGAGTTCGATTAACATATCTTAAATTCTAAGACGTGATAAATTGCTAAGTTGATTCAAATATAACAGATATCTATAGGACTTATAGAAAATCCTAAAGTTGAAAACTTCAATGTGTTAAATCAATTTAAATGTTAAGATAAATGAAAACGAACTTAGTGATACCATATACCACCCATATAGTATATATATAGTATAGGAGGTTTTGAATTTTTTTCTAGAACTTTACTTTTTCCTAAAAACACTAGGGACATTAGGGATAAATATAGAAGAACATAATAAAGCTTAGAACATGAAAAAGGATATCAAAGCTGTCCTTAAGAAGCGTCTTCAGAAAATTTTCTCTAAGGATACTAGAGACATTCAAAAAATAGCATATACACTGCCTTAACCCAGTTTAAACTATGATCGGGTCTCAGAAATGCTTATAACATCCTGCTAATATTTTTTAAAAGTAATGAGAAAGTTACGAGAAGTGATGAGAAGGTGACAGAAAAGTGTTCAGAACTAAAAACGCAGTAAATTAACAAAAATTTTGGCTGATACTATTCTATAATTTCTGGCTGCACTTTAGATGCAATAACTCAGCATCCCAGACATTATTTCAGGTATTATTCCAGGGATAGTAATGGAAATGAACACACAAAATTTAAGGCATAGTAAAATTAACAAAAATTTCAGCTAACATTATTTCATAATTTCAGTTAGATTTTTGGATATAATATTTTAGCATCCAAACTAACGAACTAATAGAACTTTTCTGGCATCCTGTCAGTTTTATGACAGTTTTATGATAGTTTTACAATAGTTCTATGATATTTCTATAGTACTATTATAGCGTTGAGTTGGATCCCAAATCATGTGCTCTAAAGATCAGCCAAATTATAAGCTGAAATTAAACGCAAATTTACTGTATATCTGACGTAATATTTTTTTACCACAATTTGGCATTTTGATGAATAATAAAATAGGTAAAGAAGGAGAACACCTTTGACACCTTAGCAGGTAATCAAAGAGACACAGAAGTGCAAAAACTTCGTCATAAAACTTAGAATCCAAACAGGTACAGACAGCCTGCACCTCTAATATATAACTTAGCAACCAATCAACTGAAGAACTCTACTAGTGTAAATTATATTAGAAAACATTTATTGACATACAGCATGTAATAAAAATAAGCGCATTCAGATTATTTGACCATTTAGATTATTTAATCACATGATCTCAAATAATAAATATAAAAAAGGTAAATAAAAGCGATTTCAAAGGTAAGAAATATAGTAAGAAAAATAAAAAGGTATAAAAATTATCACACTTGAGTTATTTAATTAGATTATTTAATTATAATTAAGTTATTATATTTAGATCATTTAGTTATATTTAATTTATTTAGTTATATCTAGATTATTTAGTTATATCTAGGTTATTTATTACTAAATAACTTAATCTAAGTTGTTTATAACTAAATAATATAATATATTATTTAGTCATAAATGGCTATATATAAAAATTATTGGCCAAAGATGTATAATATAATAAAGGAATAAATAAAAATATATGACATATATTAATGATAAGAAACATCTTGATGATAAGAACCTTTATATTCAATTTCAGTTAAACAATTATTTAATTAAATTAAAATTGATTATATAGAATCTCTACTACAAATAAAGCAAAATAATAGATACATTATTATTGCTATAGAATATTTTACTAAATAGGCTGAAGCTACTACTATATCTGATTGTACTATTCAAATTACAGTATAATTTATTTTTTAAAAAATTGTGTGTAAATATAGGATTCTAAAAGAAATATTAATAGATAAAGATATATTATTTCAGTAATAAATTAATAACAGTATTATTACATATTATTAAAACAAAACATCATCTTTCTTTCTCTTATCACCTACAGATAAATGGATTAACTGAATGTTTCAATTAGACCTTGTGTACTATTTTGGCTAAGTATATTGAATAACATTAAGGAGAATAAGATGTTTATCTCTCATTAGTCTTATTTGTATATTTTATAGTACAACAAAAAATAATTAAATACAAAGTTTTTGAGTTATTATACAAATGATATGCTATACTACTTATAAATCTTCAAGTATTATAATTTACTATAATATAAAATTTGTCACAAATAATAGAACAATATTATTGACTTTTAACTATACAATTATAACAACGTTCATATGATACACAGCAAAATATCTTACAATAATAATATAAATAAAAGAAACATTATCATTAAACACATAAGAGCATAGATTATCAAATTAAAGATAAAGTATTATTATTTAATATTTTACAATCACATGTATATGAGGATAAATTTAAAGATAAGTTTGATGAATTATTTTATATTTATAATATTATATAACCTGATACATATAAATTGTAAATATTAGACAGATGAATTAAAAAAAATCTTGTATATGCTGATTAGCTTAAACCTTATTTTAAAAGAATTAATTGAGAATCTCAGATTATCATTATAGATTAGTGAACCTAATATTACATAGTAAAATTTAATGTAACAGAACCATCTGTTCTTGCAAAAATATTCAGTATATTAAGTATTCTGATATAACAAAAATTTTTGATATACCAGAATTTATATAAAATCACATAAAGATCTGTTATATTGAATTTTTATTTTTATGTGAAAAAAATTTTCTTTATTTTTTTATTTTATTTTGAAAAAAATTTTATACCTAATAAAAAAAGTCATCTAATCTACTTTGCTTCTGCCTTTTTCTATTATCAGAAATAATTTTTTTTTTTCAAATTAAGTAAGCTTTGTATATCTAAATTTTTAATATTTAAATTATTTTGTTTAACATATTTAATTAATTTTTCAATGCTATTTAATGCATCTGATGAGATTATGATTTTATCTTCTTTCATCTCAACCTCTTCTATTACAGCTTGACCTCTAACAATATTAACAATTTCTTCTAATAATAATTCTTCTTTAATAATTAATTCATCATTAATATTAATATATTCTTCATATTTAATGGATTTGTAATTGGTAATTCATTAATTAATGATTGTAATTCTTCAATATTATCTTCTTCAATATCATCATCATTATCAGAAATATCAAAATTATTATCATCAGAAAGAATTTCAGCTTTAGCTTAACTATCAATGATTATTTTTTTAGTTACTTTTTTCTAAGCTTTAGCAATTAAATTAATAAAGTCAAGAATATCAATTGGTAGTAGAATTGGATTATCTTCTTCATAAAACTCATAAGTCTGAATATAATTTTGACATAATAATTTGCAATATTGTGTTTTTAAACTGTAAATTATATCTTGATCTAGTGGTTGAAGATATGAGATTGTATTTGGTGATAAAAAATGAACTTTAATATTTGATAAATTATTAATATTTTTACAATCATGATATTTAGCATTATCTATTAATAAAATAATATAATATCTTTCTCTAATAATTTTTGAATTTAATCTTTCAAGAAAATACTTAAAAATACTTCTTTGTATCTAGGCCTTTGAATTTCAATAGTATCAAATAAGAAGAGATTTTTTTTTAATCCCCTTTAATACACGTGGTATTTGATATTTATAAATAAAAAATAAAGGTAATTTTCATTACCAGATGCATTGCATATTACTAATATGTTAACACATTCTTTTGGATGTTTTTTATCAAATACTAAAGAATGTGCTATTGTTTTACATAGTTCAAAGTGCCAAAAAGAGCAGTTTTATCACAATTCTAAATATCTCTTAATTCATATTTTTGAAGAACTTTTTGCAATTCAATTCTCATTTGTGAAATTTCATTAATTGAAACACTACCAGCTTCTCCACTTATTTTAAATGTATGCAGGTTGTTTCTATGTTTAAAATTATTTAACCATTCTCCTGATGCTAAAAAACCATTAATATCAAATAATATAGCAAATTCTTTTGCTTTTTCTTGAATAATAGGTCTATTAAAAATTAAACTTTTTAAAATTTATTGATCAATCTAAATATTAACGGCCTTTTCTATTTGTAAAAAATTACTTAGTTTTTTATGAAAATTATTTACATTTGGTAAAGTAGTATCAATAAAAAGCCAATGCTCAGATTTTTTAAAATATCAGATACTGCACTGTCAGAAATTCTATATTCTTTTGTTAATTGCATACCATTATATTTTAGATTTCGATGCTTTTCACAAAATTCTTTTTTTAAGCTAATGTTAAAAATTTTCTTTTTTTTTTGAAAGTTATTATCATTATTTAAATCCTTTCTGTTAATTTTTCCCATTTTTATTTTAAATAAAAGAAATTGAAAATAAAAGTATAAATAGAGGCTAGTAAAAGAGATTGAAAAATAAAAGCAAAAGGATTGAAAAATAAATGCAAAAAAATTTAAAAATCTATCGATATTAAAAAAAAGATTATCAGAGTCACATGAATTAATTTTATTGGCTCATTATTATAGATCATTACGTATTCTAGTATATCAAATCATTTTTACTATAACCAATATGAATTTTGCTTCATTATAGTGATTATTGAGATTTTACTAATAGATTCTGTTATATCTATTTTAATATATGTGATTTAGTTCTAATAAAAATTTTGTTATAAGGCTAGTTCTAGTTTATTAAGGTTTCGTTATATCAAATTTCACTGTTTATAAATATAAAGTCTATACAAACTAAAATCTATAAGAAAAATAATAAGTACTGCTATTGATAATCTTATCTTATAAGAATTACAAAGGATCTTAGTTCAAAACTTACCTCTTGAACCACTAAAGTCTTATATTAAGAAGATATCTTATACTGAGAAAATTAAATGTACTTACTAAGCCTCTTGACAATATGTCATATGAAGAACTGTATTTGAATTTTAATAAATGTTTTTTTTTAAGACAATTATTAAATGATAACAATATAACATTTGTGTAAAATACCCTTTAAAGTAAAATAATTACTGCACATTATTACCAATATTCAACTTGTATATATTTTGAAAATTTAGGAAGTAAACAAATTTTGAATACTTATTTTTTGACATTGACTTGAATTAAATGACTTAAATTCAATAAATACTAAAATCTTCTCAACTGTATTTTAGAAATTTCTGTTGAATAGTCAATATTTATATTAAAGTTGTCATCTATTCAATAAAAAATCTTTTCCTCTTCATTTTTTCTATCTCAACACAAATTGAAATAGAAATCTTAAGAAGAAAGTAATATGACTGGATATTAATCTTGATAATCATCAATTTACAAATATATGATAAAGTACAGAATGTTAAAAATATCAATATATTAAACATATTTAACATATTTAATATAGTTAATTTGTTTAATATATCAGATATGTTTAATATAATTAATATAGTTAATATATTTGATATGTCAACATATGTAATAGAATAAATATAAATACAAGCTCTTTGTAAATTAGAAAAGATAGACTGATGGCTGTATAAAATCTCTTTTATAAAGATAGTATAATGCTACTCTTTTACTTTGTATACTTCTCTTATTTATTTTATTTTCTTATTTTATTATATATTATTATCTTATTATTTTCTTTCTATTTAATAAAGTATTTTTAATTTTCTATTACAAATTTTTCTGTGATTATTGTGTAAATCTTAATCAGTAATTAAAACTATTTACGTTTAATAAACTTACTTCAATTTGATAGAAGTTGATAGTAAAATAACTAAAATTAACGTGAAACTAATTAAAATTTTACGTAAAAGTATCAACTCTCTAATATTATGTTTAACAGTTGCAACCTGAAAAAATTACACGTTAATACTATAAAAATATTTATTAATTCTCTTGCTGCCTGTATGATATTTAATACATTTAATGACAGATTAAGAAATGAATATTCCTTTTTATTTTATACTGATAGTTCTCATAGATTTTTACCTGATCACACTGATCTCATTTTATACTTTAATTTTGTTTTTATCCTAATACATAACAAATTTTATTAATGCAAAGATTTTTGCATTACTTTTAGTTCTTTTAATTTGCTTTTATAACTTAATTTTAAACATATGTATAAATAGTTTATCATTTATCTACTCTTTTAACAAAATTTAAAGATAGAATATTCTTTATTAATGCTCAAAACTCCCTTTTAATATATATTGATCTATAATTTTTAAAGTTATAAAAGAAAGAAATATTATACTTTTCTTTACTAAATTATTACATACTCTAATGATTCACACAATAACAAAGTTAATCAATTAACTAAATTTTTCTTACATTCTGCCTCTCTTTTAATCACTTTTAATCATATTTCTTATTTTTAATATATTCTATTCTTTAAATATATGCTTATTTTTACTACCTTTACTCTTTAATTAAAGACTTCTTATAAACTAAATACTTTATAAATTATTATTTATTAAGACGAAACAAAAAAATATATAAATTTGAAAATTAACTATTATCTTATCTTTCAATTTATGAAACTTAGTTTTTTTAATATAATATCATTTAAAGAGTTAAAGGCATGCTATAGAAGAATAAAATTTTGTTAAAATAATTACCTATATTAGAATTCTTAAAAGTTGCATATCCATCTTTATATAATTATTCTTAGAAATACTATAGATATAATATATCAAATGAAATATTAATTATATATAACTATATCCTATTATTACACTATTAATAAAAATATTATTATTAATTTACTTTTTCATTTAAAAGTATAACTTTACATTTATATTTTCAATCTAATTTTCCCTTTAAAGTCTCAGTTCTTCTTTTATTTTTTTATACCTTTTAAGCATTAAAAGCTGATCTGTACAATATTACTTTATTGATTTTATGAAAAGCATTATTGCTTTTACCTTTTCAAAAATTATTGACTCATTTACAAATTCTTTTACTATTACTTACAGTCGTCACTGGTTATAACGAACCTATTTATACCAAAAACTGGTTATATCGAACCATGTGATGCAAAACTGATTTTTTATAATTAATTACACTGGATATACTGAAATTACATAATAAAATTCCATATACCGCATCTGAACTATGTTAGCTAAACCAAATATATTAGCCACATATTTGATATACCAAACCGATCATATGACTTAAAGTTATTTATAAGATTATCATAATATGAATAATCTTTTTTTCATCAGAACACAGAAAATTTTTGTTTAAAAATCTCTGATATTATATTAAGAAAAAGGGTTGTTCTTTCAGCTGCACAAAAACGTGAAATATGTGAAACTAAAGAAAAAAATCCAAGTCTTTCTAATATTGAACTTGCACAATAATTTTGTATTGAAAAGTTAACAGTTACTGATATTTTGAACGAAAAAGAACATTGGCTTGCAATTTCAAAAGGGCAAGGAAATGTTAAAAAATTTCTTGGTCCAAAGTAGCCTCAACTTGAGGAAGCACTTAGTATTTGGGTTGATAATGCACTTAATACAAAACAAGACATTGATAGTAATATTTTAAAAACTAAAGCAAATTATTTTGCTAAACAGTTTTCTATAGAAGATTTTAATAATTTAGAAGGGTGGTTATGTGATTTTAAAAAAACGTCATAGTTTACATCAGTTTAAGAAGCAAGATGAAGCTGCAAGTGTACCTTCTACTGAATCAATAGCAAATGATTGTATTGCTTTACAACAATTTCTTGCGTCTTATAATTCTGAAAATATTTGGAATAGTAATGAAACTGGTCTTTTCTGAAAAATGGAACCTTCTAGAGTTTTAGCACGAACTCCTATATCAGGTCATAAAAAAGAAAAATCACGTATTACAATATTTTGCTGTATAAATGTAGCTGGCACTGAAAAAATGAATCTCACATTTATTCATAAATATAAAATTTCTCGTATTATGAGAAATATTAACTACAAAAATCTTCCTGTTTATTATTTTTGAAATAAGAAAGCATGGATGTAAGTCAGTATTTTTAATGAAGTTCTTCTTAAACTTAATGAAATAATAAAACAAAAAAAAACAAAAAATTATCCTTTTAATTGATAATGCACCAGTACATCTTATTTTGGATGAAACTCAAGAAAAATTAGATAGTGTAAAAGTGCACTTTCTTTCACTAAATACTACTACAAAACTTCAACCATGTGATGCAGAAATTATTCATTCTTTCAAGTGTCATTACAAGCGCCTTTTTATTCAGAATCGAATTAATGCATATGATAATGTACAGGATGGTATTATAGAAAAGCTTAATGATTATACTATCTATGATACTCTACAAAATTCAGCTGAAACATGGTTAATGGTGTCATCACAAACAATTTTAAACTGTTGAAAAAAAACAGATATTCTTCTATTAAATAACGAAATTGATAAATTTGAAAACCATGATACAGTAGTTTCTGATAGGTATAATTTAATTAATATTATATAATATAATATTATACATGATAGTTTACTAATACATATTTATTTTTTTTAGTTTTAATATAAAAATTGATGAGCTTGATATGTTACTTCTTCAACTTCCAAAAAAAGATCTTAACGCATATGAATATATATATATTGAGGATAAAATACCAGAGGGTGGACTTACTGATGACAAAATTGTTGATATAGTTTTAAATACAAATAAAGAAGGAGAAAATATGAACGAAATTGAATTTATATCTATATTGGAAAAAGTTAGTCTAATAGAAGCTGAAAAATTTATAAGTGAAACTATGAGATTTTTATATGAACAAGAATGCAAATTTGGTAAAGTTAGCGAAGAATTAAAGGTTTTAAGGAAATTACATAAATGAGTTAAGCTACTAATTGTACAAAATTTAATAATAAAGATAATTTGTATTTGAAAAAATTTTATTAATCAGTATAATAATATATATGTTAATAATAAACTCTATATACTGAACAGTTCAGTATATAGAGTGAACATTATATAATAAACTCATTCTATACTGAACCAAATCCTATGAAACGGAGGGTTCGTTATATCCAGTGGCGACTGTATACTATTTTTTCTCATTTTATAACTTTCTTTTTGATCAAATTTATAATCTTATATGAAAATTAAGATATATACTGATTATTTCAAAAAAATAATCTCTTCATATCTCATAATATAACAAAAAAAAAGAGATTATATTTCTTTTAATCATTTCTCTAGAAATAATTTTATTAATAATTTTTTTTTCTTTAACTACCTTTAGTATAACTATTTATTTCTAATTAAAAATTTGTACATACATTAATTATTCTTCTTAACATAGTAATAACTATTTGTCATATATTTTCTTTCTTTTAGTTAGTAATAATAGTAATTCTACTAGTGATTATTACTAGAGTCTAATGAGACAACTGGTTGGTTTAGTAAAATTTAGATTTTGAACTTTTTGTTTTATTAGAAAGCTTTTTTTATTTTTGTATCTTCTTAAAGAATTTTCATATATATTTATACTAATTATGATTATACTTAATAAATAAAAGCATTACCGCAGTTTTTTTTAAAAAAAAAGGTGATTTAATTAGCTTAAATTTTAATATGTTATTCTTCAAAATTATATCTTATATGTATTAAAATTTGATAAAATTATAATTGATGAATTTTGAAAAATACAATATTAGAAATCATATTTAAAACTTTTGGTTAGGATTTGTAATTAGTCCAGAACGTAGTGAAGGACTATTATAGTTTAAGTTTAGTGATACAAAATGTTAATCTGTTCGCCCGCTTGACCTATGAGATGATGATGTTCAGTTACTATGTTTGTCAATGTTGTTCGTGATCATTTTCCAAATCTTATCAAATTTATTTAAAAACTTTTTGCATTAAAAAAATTTTTTCAGCTTTATATTTTTTTTTTTATTTATATTACCATTTTTTCTGAAAAATGTGAATTAAAATAATATTTTGATACTTTATTCCTATTTTTTTTAACGCTTTGTACTGTTATGTTAAATTGTGTTTTCTTCCAGTATTAATGAAACTAGTCATTCTTCTTTGAGTTTTCTTTCTTATAACCTTCGCAAGTTCTTTATACAAAGTAACCTTTTGAACGTGAACTGTTTGAAGGAAATATTATTTAGTGAATAGACGCGTGATATTGTAATGAAAGAATTTTTTTACATTAACGGGAAGTCTAAAGCGAATATTTCCAGAATATTTTCTCCACATCTCTGCCACATTCCTGCCACATTCCCACGCTTTTACGCTTTAGACTTCACAATGGCCCTCACCATTCTCTAATATTATTTTTTATTTTTATATTATATAGCTTATTTATATTATTATATTTATTTTATGTATTTATTTTAAATATAAAATTTTTTAATAAAATATATTTAATTAAGATACTTTCTGAAAAATATTTATATATATTATAAAGTATTAATTTAAATAGTGTTTATTTATTATTTGTTTATTATATATATATTTTAATCTTTGATATTAATAACTTATTCTATTACTAAGTTAATATTCATAATTATAAATTTATCTGAAATTTTTTTTAAATATACTTTTTTTAGTAAAATTATATTATAAATTATTTTAACTATTATAATCTTAAATTATTAATTATATTATATTTTTAACATAATTTATGAAAATTATTTAAAAATCAATAATATAATTAAAATTACTTGTAATATGATATATTAAAAAATAAAAAATAAAACTATTTAATGGTAGATTGCTAGAAAATCAAATTTTGAGGAATTTTTTTAAATTAAAATTTTAATTTTTACAATCTTTCCATATATTTAAAATTAATAATTATTCATATATATTTTTTTTAATATTAAAAAAAAAGTAAACTATATTTTTAAAATACATAGAACCTTGAAAAAATGATATCTTTTATTAATATTTATTAAATCAACTTATCGAAATTGATTTTAGAAAATTGATGTATTTTATTTATCTAAATTTATAAAATAAATGATTTTTTTAAGGTTTATCGGAAGCTAATGTCGCGTATATTTCGGATTAAGACTGGGTAGGCTTTTCCCGAAACTTTTAAAATAGGACGGAAAAATTGTTAACGCGTATACTCATTGGACTGCGCCACATTCCCACAGCCCCATCATAAACTTTAATTACCTAAAGCTAAAAAGTATCATTAATCCTTGCAAATTATTTCTTTTATTAAATATTACCATCTCATCAGAACAATAATAACGTCCTTACTACTTAAGTAGGTTGATTATTCTCAATCATTTTGGGCTTATTAAATTCTTATACATAGATTTTGTAACTATGAGTTATAGAAGAACAACTTTATTTGTTGCTGGCTTTGGATCTCAAATTAGAGCTAGAGATCTGGCATATGAATTTGAAAGGTTATTTTGTTTTTTAAAAAAAAAGATAAATTTATTTTCTTTTTCATCGATCTTAAAAGATAATTTTGATAGAAGAACCTCTTTAATTTATATAGATACGGCCGGCTAATTCGTTGTGATATTCCTGCTCCAAGAAGTTATCAATCAAAACCGTAATTATCTCTGTTTTGAATCATATTTTTATAATTTCAATATATATTTCGATACGTATATTCTTAATTTATTATATTTAATTAAATTCCATTTTCAGTTATGCTTTTGTTGAATTTGAGGACGAACGAGATGCGGAAGATGCTTATTATGAGATGCATGGTCGTAGAGTATATGGACACGCTCTGAATATTCAGGTTTGGATTATTATTAATTGATGCATTTTTAATAGATGTTTTGAAAATCACATATTATTTATTATTTATTTGTAGTGGGCCAAAAACGCTCCTTCTAGATCTTGGCGGTATGAGGGGAGTAGTCGAAATTCACCGCGTCGAAGTCGCCGATCGCCGTCGCCGGCACGTTATAGAAGACGACGTTCTTATTCACGTTCTCCTAGCCGCACCCGTTCTCGATCTCGTGGACGTAGCCGTTCTCCTCGTTCTGATCGTCGTAGTCGTTCAAGATCCAGAACCGTTGAAAGAGAGCGAACTACTAATGGTGAAGAACGACCGGCTGATGACAGAAGGTCCAGATCTATATCACCAACTAGAGACGATACTAAACGTCGTGATTCTCGTTCACCTCCTCGTCCTCGTGAAGAAGCTAGAGAAAGATCTACAAGCCCAAATGATCGTAATGGCAATGGCACTTCTCGTTCTCCATCAAGGAGTCCACCAGCACGTCTTTCGCAGTCTAGAAGTCCCCAACGGGATTGAATTGAATGACTATACAGCAACAAAGGCCTACCATCATCAATAAAGTGGAGAATTCAGTGAATTTATACAGACTTCGTTTGCCATGTAAAATCTTCTCTATATTTACTTTATAGCTCTTGATTTGCAAATGATTTGAATAGCCCATGTATTCTGTTCATTATCTTTTTATACCTTTTTTTTTTTTTTTTTTTTTATTATTTCCTTTTTTCCCTTATTTTGGGCAAGTCATGTTTTGGGGCTCGATGAAATTTTATTCTTGTCAATGCTTAATTTTCTATTATGTTTGAATATTATCAAATATTATCAAAAATGATTCTTCATTGGTTATTTTCAAATTTAAAAAAGTGTGCAGTTATCGGTAGCGGATCGGAACGGTCGGTCGCAAGGTTGTACTTTTCGCGGTGGTTTCCAAATTGACATTTCATCCATATAAACGAGAATTAGACCTTACCTCTATCTCGCACAAACAATTTCCGACATCGATGCGACTCGAAAGTCTTTCGAACGCTCTGTACATCGAGTCTATTCCTTACCATCACACATCGCATACCATCCAAACGACCACCGTTTCCCATCAAGTGTTATATATAATAAAGTATTTGCTTATATTTTTAGTTTTAAGTAAAAAAAAAAAAAAAAAAGAGAAGAAAAAAAAAAAAAACTTATTCTAACAATGTTACCTTCAGCATATGGGAAATACCTTCCCTTTAATCGTTGTCGTTCCTTACGAGGTCTACTTACGATAAACCACTATTTCCACTCGAATCAACAAAGAATCTATCCGAACCAAATTTGCCCAAATTCATATATATTATCTATATATTATGAAATTTCAAAAGAAATAAAAGAAACAAAAGATATATTTAAAATATTAGTATTGATTGCCCGACCTACAAAGAAGAAATCGAATGCAGATATCTCTTCGAAAAGTCCGAGTTCCTCAATCGGCCTTCAGCTGATAAGTATACCTATCATTAAAAGAGTGATAAATTGCTGCCATAAGTAATTTTGAAAGGCACACTATTAAATTTTTGTTGATGAGTCCAAGCACAATTCATGCAAATCATCTTTTTAAAACAAAGGAATTATCTTATTTCTTAGAAATGACTAACTGACAAATGAAAACCCATGCACTTGCATTAAACGAATTTTATCCAGCTAAGTGTATTTATATCATTCTCTTTATTACTTTTATATTAAATATTATCTTATTTTATTAAAAATCCTCTTATTCAACAGATAAATAACAATAGGTATTAAAATTATAGTCTGATGTAAAATTAGGGAGATAATGGTAAAATTTTTCTCCTTTTTTTTTTTTCCTTTACGAAAAAGATTCTTTGAAAATCAAAAAAAAAAAGATTTATTATTATTATTCATTTATTTTATTTTTATTTTATTTTATATTATTGAAAACACAACAAATTATATATTAATTAATCTTTAAATAAATTGAATTTTCAATGAATTTATTTTATCGCTATTTTAAACATTTTTAATTTTTTTCCCTTTGCGACATAAAAAAAAAACATGCCTTTTTTTTTACTTTTGTAATAATATTGATCTTAAGCTTTTTGAACAGCAGATCTTCTTTTCTTAATATCAGCTTTTCTCTCTTTTTCTTCCTTTACTCGCTTAGCAAGTAAAACAGAATATTCCTCAGCAGCCTTTTTTGCAGCTTTAGCTCTTCTGCGTTTAAGAGAAAGACGATGACGTTTACGCTGTAGAGTAAGAGGAGTTACCAGGCGCTGAATTTTAGGAGCCTTTGTATAAGTTTTTTTATCCGGATTTTTTGGAGTAACCTCACGACGGATTACAAATTTACGAACATCATCTTCCTTTGATAAGTTCTATATTTAAAAATTAGATTAAATATCAGTGATCAAATATGTTAAAAATAAGTAGAAGATAATTTAAATAACTCACAAAAAACTTGCGAATTCTTGAAGCTCTCTTTGGACCCAAACGTTTCGGAACAGTATTGTCAGTTAATCCAGGAATATCAACTTCTCCTTGTTTGACTATGACCACCGATAATACTGCCAGATCATTTCCAACAATACAACCTCGAACTGATTTTCTTTTACGTTCACCGGTGCGGCGAGGTCTATAACAAGAATGACCTTCAGATAATAAAAGTCTTACACGATCATTACGTAATACACCTTGCTTCATAGGAAAGCCCTGCTTATCATTTCCACCAGATATACGAAATACATATCCTTTAAATTCGTCCCCAAGAGAATCTCCTGGAACTTCAGCGCTTATACGTTTTTCATAAAATACACGCCTGATATAATCATTTATTAAATTTTTTACATTAATATAATATAATTTTTATTGGAAGTACTAGTTTACGTGATTAGATTTGAAATTTTTGATCTTTTACTCACAGCTTACGTTCATCGTCAAAATCAATCAATTTCTGACAACCAGTAGCTGGGTTGGCGATGTTCAGCTAAAGAGGAAAATGAAGTAAATATAAAAATACAATGAATCTAAATTAATTTCTTTGGAGTCGATATTGATTTTATAGATTTAAATATGGAATAAACTTTTTTATAATGGATGGATATTTTTTTTTTTTTTTAAAAAAAAAAAAAAAAAAAAAAAATCCTTAATAAATACATTTTCGCAAAGATATGAATTTTTTCGTATTACATGTCTATTCGATAATCCTAATCTTTAAAACGCATTAATGAAAATAAAGAAATGAACTTACCTTCATTGCTATTAAGCTATACCTTGATTAACTGAACAATTTTAAAGAGGAAGTTCATTCGTGTTTTGAATAATTTTAGATTTTATTATTTTTGAGATATTACGTCATCAATTTTATTTTTTAGGTGATATGATTTGTGTCACGGATGTTACTTTAATATCTAAAAATTTATTTACCTACAAAAAACTCTTTTTACAGAAAGTATGACACGAGAAACAGAAAATTCTGAAAGTGAGACTCCTACTAAGGCCGTTCTGGAAACGAATCCCAGAGGTATTCCTAAGGTTCAATTTGTAGTATGTATAAATTTCAATGAATTTCGCGTAACCTTTATTTGTGATTGTTCGCGCTTTCTCTTATTCACCTGCTTCTATCTCATATAGGAAAATGTTGAAGAGGTTATTGGTAAAACTTCAGCGCCAGTTGAGGTTACTCTGAGTAAATTCCAGGAAACTGTCGCGTAAGCATTCGATGATTTTTTTTTTTTTAAAAAAAATAATTTAAATTTTAATTATCTGCAAATAATTAGAAAATATAAGTTCATGGAAATCAATTTCCTTAACCGAAAGAAGGCCCTCGAGTTAAAAATACCTGAAATCAATAAGACTTTAACAGTTGTAGAATTCTTGATATCAAAACAAGTAAATTCAACATTAATTAAATCCTGCAAATTGAATAATGTTTCATTCTATCATCTCTATTATATAGGATTCCGATGAGCCTATAGAGACAACATTTGAATTGAGTGACACGTTGTGGGCTAATGCTAAAGTCAAATCTACAAAAACTGTTAATTTATGGCTTGGGGTGATTTTTTTTTTTATTAATGTCTTAAGTAATAATTGCTAATTTCCACAAATATTTATTAATTACTTGATTAATTACAGGCCAACGTGATGCTCGAATATACATTACAAGAAGCAAAGGAGCTACTTGAAGGTAAATTGGCTACAGCTCAAACTTCACTGAAAAATGTATTGGAAGATTTGGAATTTTTACGAGAACAAGTTACTACAATGGAAGTTAGTATCCTTTTTAACAAAATAAAAAGAAGGTAAATCAAATATTTTTTCACGTTCGTTTTTATGCCTTAACTCATCTCTTTTCAAAAGATATTGCACGTGTATTTAATTGGGACGTTAAAAGACGTAGAACATTAAAGGCAACTAATACCGCTTAAGTCAGTTAAAGAATTAATCGTTATTATTACATTGCATTACAGTAATATAGAATTTTCATTTATCTGATTCTGCCTTACTTCATTCACTATTAATTATATTATTGTATATTAGGTGTCAAATCATTATTGTATTAATCTAGTAATTTCGCTGTTAATTTATGAGAAGTAAAAAGGAAGAATTAATAAAGTTGTTAAATTTCATGTACTAAGTCATTTGGTATCATATACTTATTAAATAAGTAATACTTACGATCATGAATAGTAGTAGAATGTGTTGATCGTTGCCTTATTTTCGGAGGTAAAGTTTGTTTAATCTGTATCAATGTCAATTCAAAAATTAGTTATTATGTATTAATTTGTAATTTTACTAAAATTATCGTTTTAATGAATATTAACTTTTAAGGATTCGGAATCGAATTCTATTTGGATAGCAGCGAGCGTTCCATCGAATCTATTAAAAAAGTTTAATCGAAATTAATGATTGATATTATTAAAGAATCAAAGGGTTATTAAATAATAAAAACCTGTTTTTCTTAATGTCTAATAATCTTATTTCACCAGTATCTGTTTCCACTTTTTGAAGGATTATAACATTATCCGCTTCTTGTGTCACTTTAGCTGTTCCAAATATAGAGTTAACATCTAACATATTTTTATCATCTTTTCTTGGATGAACGACAAGAGTAATATGCACGTTTCTTTCAGTAGCAACCCTTCGTAAGGATGATAAGATCCGATCATGTAATTCCCAACGATCTATATACCTGCCTTGATCTGCTGTCATGAATTGTAAATTATCAATTACAACATGTTGAACATCAAAAGCATGAATTGCATGATCCATGGCATCAGTTACTGTGGACATGTCAGTACTTCCATAAAATTTAAGGAAATACATTGGAAGCTAATAATTAGTCACAAAAAAATTCAGATCATTTTTGTTTTTAGAAAAAAAAAATTTAATAATTGAATAAGTAAAATAAACCGAATTTACTTGTTGAAATCTTTCTGCCAGATTATTAAATTCTGTAGTATCTTTTGATAAATCTTTTCCAGCGAATTGCTGCAACATTTTTTTTGCCAAACGTACATTCGGTATTTCAAAGCTACCCCATAATGTACTAACTCCTTGTTTACAATAATCGAGCGATAATTGGCTCAAAATAGTCGTCTTACCCGTACCTGTTGGTCCGGTAAATATAGTAATTTCACCAGGTCGATGTCCTTTAAGAATTTTATTTAATCCTGGAAGATCCTTTGATTCTATACCACGAGCTTGATTAGGGTTAGAAATCTCACGATATACCGCGTCCTTAAGATTTTCAAAATCTATAATCTGATCGTGTTGTAACGGTTTTGATCTATTAAGGATTTCTTTTAAATCCTGACCTGTCGCTATCGCTTGATTTGCATTAATTGGTCCATCCAATTTTCCGCATCGCGTACTCACAATCATGCATCGGTCAATTCCTAACTTTTGAGCAAATTTTTCTGCCGCAACTTGACCTTCTACATCATCATCAAGCCAAAGATAAATTTTAGAAAATCGTTCAAGTAAAGGAAGAATTTCTAAAGGTAGTTGATATATATTGGAAGGAAGACATGTTGCTGGTATTTTGGTTTCTTGATAAGCGGCCATTGCATCAAATTCGTTTCCCGTCAAAATAATGTCTTCACTATCTAATGATGCTAAATGATATCCAAAAAGACCCGTTACAAATGATGGTGGATCAAACGCGACCAATTCATTATTTTCTATTGAACAAGCTTTAATTCGAGTAATCTTTGTATTTAAAAAGTCATTTCTTTTCAACTCATCAAAAGATGGCGCTGTTCGCGGAAACGTAAAGCACATTTCATCAGTCTTATAAGAAACATTTGAGGATGGATTATTATTATGATATCTTGCAATTCCCACTTTGAATGCTTCAAGTGTTTCTAAAGATATACCATATTTTTTTGTACATTTATCAATCAAATCAGAATCATTTAGTAATTCATTTTGAAATCCTTCAATTTCATGCTGAGACCTTGAAAAAGTAGAACGACCACCCATATTCAAACTTGTTGTATTGATGATATTGTATGATTCTGATTTTGATATTAATTGCATATATTCACCCCAACAACCCTTTTTCATGCAAACTTTACAATTATAAATACCACTTTTTAAATCAATAATGGCCGTATAAAATTTATTTTTTGTTTGACGACAATTAGGGCATTTGATTCGTCTCAATTCATTGTCACTAGTAGATTTAGGAAATTGAAGATATCTATGAAGAAATTCCAACACCTCTCCTTGTTTAGGAATATAATATTTTGATATAAAATTAGAATTGATGGTACTATCTTTCACTCTATTAAAATCGCGCGACAAGTTTGATTTTGTCTGCACTTCTGTCGCTAAACTTTTCATAATATTACGTGATAACAGACTATTAGGTGTTTTTTTGAAGCTGCCTCTAGTAATATTGTAAAAAGGTAGAAAATAACGCGACATTTCGAAATCTATAAGTTTAAAAAAAGAAGAAAAAAGGAGCAAAAAAAAATTTAACCATAACTGATAATCCGACGCGTTTTACGCACATATATATGATAAAACAGGTAATCTGAACATCCCTTTTTTTTAAAAACTTAAAATTTAAAATGTTACTATACTATAGAACAATCAATATAAATCTGAAAGAGATAATAACGATAATGATTTATCTATATCATTCTAAATGGCCTGGAGCGCAGTATCATTTTTATCGTTGTCGTTGTTCTTGTCGTTTATTATTGTTGTCGGTAAAGAAAGATTTTGAAAAAAAAAAAAAAAAGAATCGTAACTAGCTTAACAATGATACATTTGCATATATTAATCTTCTTGATAATGTTATCGGAATAATTTTTTTTTAAGCCATGTATAGAAAATCATGGATCCGGTTATAAAACCGGCTGATTATACAAATTTTAAACAAATAATGCATGCAACACAAATTATTATGTGATCGAAATGTCAATTTTTTTTTTTGCTATTATACTTATATAGTTAGATTCTAGGAATTGTGGACAAAATTTAGACTTTTCTAATCGGCAATTTAGGAATTATCAATCCAATATATAAAGCACAAGGACTTTTACAAAAAGTAAAAAAAAAAAAAAAAGGGTACAGAAAAAAAATAATTTCACAATGAATCTAAAAACTAATATGACAATATACAGCAAGAGAAATAATATATAGACAAACACACATTATTAATTATTTCAATCATAAATCACCAGGATACATAATACTCTCCAAATCTTTAACCACTACATGATCTATATATGGAGTGAATAACGCAAGTAATAATTGTTCATTATATACAAGAAAACATTCCTCATTTCCTTTGGCTAAGACCTTTAACATCTCCATAGCTCTTCTAGCTAACATAATACAATCCTCATCACGATTATCACGGATACCTGCTAACGCTATTGCCATTCTAAGCATCCTATTTATAAACCCAGGTGTAGAGATTATTTTCTTCCTCATTCCTTCCCCACTCAGGCATACAAAATTATAAAATGCCATAACTAAAGTTGCTAAATAAGGTAATTCTTGAGCCATTAGACGCCCTCCTCCACCGTGAATGATATTTTCTATCTTTGGAAGCATTTGTATCAAACAGTTAAAAAAATATGTTAATGTAGATTCATCGCATCCACCAATCCGTTGTCTATTATCGTACGAGACGGACAATTTAGCAAATACTTCTAATGCAATTTGAGAATAATAATCATCCATGCTATCCATAAAATCACCAATTAAAGTTAATAAATCTCTTGCGACATAAATAGATGGTAAAGGTATATATGCAGCAATGTTTGATAAAATAATTAAAACACTCTTGCGTAATTCCAAAATATAATACGCTTTTTTTCGAATAACTTTTATACGATTAGCTTTATCTTTCATATAAGTATCTTTCATATAATTATCGTCACATCCAATATATAAAATCCGCATGAGAACTGCCAAGAATCGAGGATGTGCAGCAAGATATTCCTGATTCTCAAAATTGAACGAAAAATTCCTTATCATATTTGTTACACACCAACATTGTTCATGAAGTGGCAACCATTCTTCCGAAATGGAATCTCTTAATGCAAATTCTTCACACTCTTGTTTAGATAATTGATATAATTCTCGATATGATTTGAACTTTCGTTGTGATATTATGCTTTCTTCTGCTATTTCCTCATTATTATTAAGAGATACATAATCAACGTATTCCAAAATCATATCAAATAATACATCAATTAATTCTCCACATTGCTTTAACTCTAACAAATTTTTATGTGATAAAGTGGTTAATGTATTAAGAGCGTTTGTAACTTCCAGTTTCATACCACATTTTAATGACATTGTAAGAGCATGTACGTCTACAGCACCTTTTAATAAACGATTAAAGTAGGAAATTTTGATTAGTCACAAATAGACTTGTAATTTAAATAATAACTTAAAATTACCTAATTCTTGAATCCCAGGAATAGTCAAAGGCAAATTGAACTTTTCAAAAACTCTCAAATCAAGACCACCGTAACTGTCCACCTTTCTTGTTTTTGGAGCATAATTTACCTTTTGAGGCTTAGATTTTGTCGATGGTGTTGAAGTTGTTTGGTCAGGAACTGATGAGGATGCTGAAGGTAAATTGTCTGATACAGATGTAGTTTTCTCGGATTGTCGAGACACTTGACGAGAATTAATGTTCCTACGTCCAGCTATACCACTACTAACGGGTAAACGAAGGTTAGGTGTAGCGTTTTCAGCAATACTGCTTTGAGCAATATTTCCAATTTGATTAGAAGGCTGCTGTTGTTGCTGATTATTATTATTGTTATTATTATTGTTATCATTATTGTTATTATTATTAAGCACATTAGTAGGTATCTCTGCGTTAAATGGTTGTGAAGTTTGTTGATGTTGGGAAAAATTTGTTATAGTTGGGAGATTGTTAATATCTTTAGGGTTATCTGTAGAAGAGGTCAATCTTGACGGCATAGAAGTCGCTTGAACGTTCGCATTAAATGAATTCGGATTATCATTGGAAGGAAGAATCGACGACGATTCACCTTGATGTTCTTGTGATGCTATACGTTGCATAGGTTCTATATGACTCATAAATGGATTAGATTTCAACGAAGTTAGCGTCGCAGATTCTATTGTTGATCGTGGCGACTGGTTATATTGATCAACGATTGCACTCTGAATACCAGAATTAGATGTTATTTCTGGTGATATCGAAGACCGTGTTGATGATTGAGAATAATTTGATATCATTGAATTCGAAGTTGACAAATGATCTTTTGAAACCATTTTAGAAAATTGTCCTATTTGTGACACTGTTTGACTCTGGTTTTGATTACCATAAATCAATGCCTGACTACTAGAATCAGATGACGGAATAGGCGAACGGGGTAACATTCCTAAAGAATTATTTTGAATATTTTTTGGAGACAAATTTTGTGAAATACTGGAAACGTTATTTGTTGACAAAGAAATAGAAGAATAATTATAACCCGTTTCTTCTCGTTGTTGCGATGTTTGCGTAATTTGTATCGGCTGCGAATGATGTTGTTGTTGTGATGGTGGTTGTGGTGTTGATTGTCGTTCTTGTTGCTGCTCTGATATTGTTTGCAGTTGTAATTGTTGATCGTCGTGTTGCTGTTGCGGCGATTGTTGAAGACTACTTTGGTTAATTGAAGAATATGATTTTATATTTTGAGGCGCATAATTCAAATTGCTTATAGAACTGGAATTCCAAGCTTGTATATTGCCACTAATTCCACTTGAATTATTCGTGAAATCTGGTGAACAATTAAAATCATATACAATATCGTCTTCATCTCCCAAATCTAACCAATCTACCTGACTGTCTTCTTGTTGAATAGAATTATGTATCGCTTGATTTGATTGTTGTGGATGTGGGGATTGATTTTGATTTAACAGATTATTAAAATTATTTCCCATGGACTTTGCTTGCAATTGAAGGTATTTATTTAGATAAGCGGATTTACTATCCATGTTTTGATTATCAGTATTTACAAAAGACTGCGTTGGAACCGTTGACCTTCCAGCATTTATTATTTGTTGACTAGGAAAACCCGTATAAAGTTGATTCTGACCAGGAGTCTGTCCTATATTTGAAAAAAGTGTTGGAATAGGAGTTCCTGAGCCTAATGCAACTCTTTTTGTTGCTGATCTACCATTTGCTGTCATGGATGCTACTGAGGCGACAGGTACTTGGTATACAGGACGACTAGGGATTGACATCATTGGATTGAGGCCAGTACCTTGTTGTAAATATGCCGTGTTAGCTGTCATATACGGTTGAGGATATGCAGCAGCACTCATTACCGTTGCTGGTCCTTGAGGATTCCCATAAGGAACACGGTTCTGTTGTTGTTGACGTTGTTGATATAAACTTGGATCCATTGATCAAATGATATTTGCTCTAAAGACAATAATTGATGGTATTTCCCAAGTTATAATCAAATATGCATATTACGTTACACGAGTTATGCATTTGGGTAATACGATTTTCAATAATTTGATGTCATCAATTTACGTGAATTGAATTTTATGGATATTATTGGATGATATATAATTTGCTTATTACGATGTTTCATTTAAGCTTTTCTTATTATTTTCATTTTATTTTGATATTAGTCTTACCAAAATTTATTATTATTTAATATTTGTAAATAATTGTTATATTATATTTTTTACTATAAATTTATATGTTTAAGAATAGTATTCTTGAATTTGTAACATAGTAAAATTTATTATTTAATATATATTAAATTGTTAAATTAATTTATAATGTTTATAATATTTTATATAATAACTTATATAATTTACTATATCTTAATTATTTAATAATAATCAACTCATATTATAATATTAAAAATATTATTTATATATATTCTAATAATTTAAATTTAATAAACATTATAAAAAATTTTATATTTTAATTTTAATTATAAATAAATAAATTAATTATAATAATACAACTTGATAAAATTTATATCTTAATAATATAAATTAATTATAATGTTAATTTTTAGATTATTTAGTAAGCAATTTTATAATTTTATCTACAAACTTAAAAAAAAATTATTAATTTTAGTAATATACTAATCATATAAAAAAAATATATTTTAATATATATGTTATCAACTTTATTAGAAGATATCTTAAATTTTAAAAAGTTTTTAAAATAATTCAATTTTAAAATTAAGTTTAAAATTTTATTATACTAATTTCTTCAAAATTTATATGTTTATAAATTAAATAAATTTAAATTAATAAAAGTTATAAAATTTCTTAATAAAATATAAAAAATTAAACTAATTAAAATTATTTTTTATAATAAATTTATAATATTATATTATAATTAATAGCCTAAAAGTAAATATTAATAAAATTATCAAAAGTTAATGATAAAATTTTTTAATAAAAAAATTTTTTAAAAATTAAAAATTAAGTAAGTTTGGATTTTTATTATATAATTAAATAATAAAAATTGTAATATAATTTATAAATAAATTTAACAAAAATATTTTTTAAATATTTTAATTTTCATAAAGTAAATCTGAAGAAAATTTATAATAAAAAGTAGATAAATTTATTTGTGAATTTTATAATTTAAGAAACATTTATATAATTATTATAATTATTATAAATTATGTTTTTAATTCTTTCAAAAGTATTTTCAAGAATATTTTCAATCTTCTAAATATATATTATTAACTTAGATTAAGTTATTAATAAAATAATATAACTTAGATAATACATATATAATCTAATTACTATAATTTAATCTAAATAATACATATATAATCTAATAATTATAATATAATCTAATTAACATATATAGAAAGTAAATAGTGTTAAATAAAATACCTCTTGATTTAATGATTATATTTTAATATAAATATTACCATTAGAGCTATTTTGACAAGAACTTTTTAACAAATATAAGCTCAACCTGATTAAACTAATAGTTGGTAAAATATTTTAAAAAGAATGGCTAAAGATAATTTCATAAATCACTATTATACAAAGCTGTAATTTCTTAACTATAATTTAGCGATTAATTGATTAAAATTACAAAATTATGAAAATGACTGAAATAATAATAATGTAATTAATAAAATTATATAAAAAATTTTTTTCTTATTAAATTTTATCTAAGAATTTTTATATAAAAATGTATACATTCAATGATAATTATAATTTAGTCAGTGAACAAAATACAAAAATTTTCTATTTAAACTTTTTTTACTTGTTATTTCCATATTTATATCTAAAAATATTTTATTATTAATTTAAATAGTAGTATTATTTTATTAAAAATTTTTTTTTATCACTTATCTCAGATATTTTTCTCATTTATTTTTCTTTTTTTTGCCTACAAAAAGTGAATATTAGAGATATTTAAAATGATAATTAGAATTAACACAACTTTAAGTATAAATATCTCAAGATGTAACAATTTGTTTTGACTAATATTTGCTTCTTTTTCTTTATTTTTTTTATCTCTAATTTCAATAATAATATGTGAATTAATATTTCTATATGATTAACAAATTCTTTTAGATAATTTTAAAATTTAATCAATTTCTTTAGTATTATTTTTATCTTAAAAGTGAAAATTAATTTTTTCTGTAATTTTATTAACCTTTATTAGAATATAATCTTATAAGATATAAATAAATAAACTTTCTTATTTTTTAATATTAAAAAAAAATAAAAACTAAAATATATATCTTAGTAAATCTTATTAAATATGTCAGTCAAGATAAAGAATTTAAGTTAGTAGAGTAGAAGGAATCTTATAATTTTCTTTTAGTCATATTTGATAAAAAAAAAAATAATATAGAGTGGAATATCACATATAATATGATTATATTATATGGGTTGATTACTAGGAAAATCAGGTTCTAGGAATTTTTTAGTGAAATTAAGATTTTTATTGCATTTTAGTTTTTGATGTTATTAGATTAAAATGTATTAAGCTTTTAATTTTAGTCAAAAATTTCTCAAAACCTGATTTTTCTAGAAATATTCCTATATGTGGTATTTCACTTAAACTATAGAGATAATCACAGATACCTGAACGATTAATTAAACTATTTGAATTTACTTATTATATTAACTTTTTTTTTAGAATAAGTAAAAAATTTATTTATTTTAAATATTTTCTATATATTTTATTAAAAAAAAAACTAATACTTTGTTGAACTATCTTCAGCTACTATATATGCTTGAATGTGACAGAACATACTTTCAACCAAATTTTGAATATACTCAAGTGAAATTGAATGCTAAGCATATTTTACCTTACGTTTTAAATCTTTTACATTTTTAGGTTAATTAGATAAGTTACGAAGTTTCTTATCAATTTCATTCTAAAGATTTTCAATAGGATTTAAATTGGGACTTTGTGCAGGCTAGAGTATATAGAAATCTTAGAAGCGTTATGAACATTAACGACAACCTTTGCTCAATGAGGTGAAGCATTATTCTTTTGAAAAATTTCTTATTTGCGAGGAACTAATTTGTAAATTAAAGGAATAGCATGCCTCTATAATATTTTTGCATATCTTTGTACTGTTACAGATTCGCAAAGAGAAACAAGAAGTCTCAGCCCATACCATGAAAAGCATTTCCAAAATATTCGATTGAGACTGTGCTTTACTATAGCAGTTAAACAAGAAGGATCAAATTCTTCTTCTGGTATACGCTACATATGTAAGCTATGACCTTATGAAAATTAGCTAAATGTTGATTCATCAGACTTACAATTTTCTTCCATTTTACAATTGTCTAATCTTCTCATTCTAATACTTAAGCTAATCTTTTTTCTTTATTATTTTCAGAAATTAATGGTTTAGAGTGGACAACACACAAACGTAAGCTGATTTTTTTAAGAGTCTGATAAATTGTAATATTTGAAACTTTCTTTTTTTTTAGTCTATAATTTTTAAATTTTTTGAGTAATAAGGCGACGATGCTTCAAATTTTATATAACAATCTTTTTGAGTGAAGATTATACATTTGAATTAAAAAGTAACTTAAGGCCACAATGTTTTTTTAGTATTGCAGAACCCAGTTTCTTTAAAACGTTTTATCGTATCACAAACAGTTGTTTTATTACATTAAACAATGTTAGCAATTTTTTGATATGAATCATCTCATTTATGACTGTAAAAAATTGCCCTATATTGTTTAGCATTCAATTCTTTTATTTTAACCATTTTTGTTTGAAAGAAATTATTTATTATTATTGTGATTAACATTCATTTATATTCTAAACAAATGCTTAAATTAGAAATATATGTAAACATGTAAATAAAGTGAATAAACAAAAATATTTATCATTCGGGTACCTATGATCACTCTCTATAGATTATAGTATCGCAAATAGTCTAAATATCACATATAATCTAAATATCTCATATAATCTGAATATCACATGTAATCTAAATAATACATATAATCTAAATTCCTATAACTTAGGAAATTGAACACACTTGTTCTTCGCATCCCAGTATTGATTTTTTACAAATTGGAGATTTGATGACAAGTCCTTGTTCAATTATTTTACTTAAAGGATTAAAGGATTGTAATTACTTATTAAATCAATAACTTGGTTGCTAATCAACCATACTGTAAATTTATTTGGGTCTCCAAACAAAACCATATGACATTCATGACTAAATTCATTTAAAATTTTACAAATTTTTTCTGATAATTCTTGAAAAAAAGACATTGTAAAAGTTTGAATAAAAGGAAGATAGATGGTTAAAAAAAATGGGAATTTTTTTTTAAAAAAAAAAATGAAAAAAGAAAATGAATTATATATATAATTAATTATTATTATGCTAATTTTAAAAATGAATATATCTGTTAAACAGATACAAATATTCATTAATTTATTTGAGGATGTTTGGAAATACCATTGTAATCTAATGATAGCAAAAGAACATTCATTATATATCACAATCAAAGATTAAACTAGACGAGATGCCAGTTCATTCTTAAGATATGAAGAGATATCAAGTCCTACATATAATTGAAAATCTTAAATACACATAGTGAATAAATTTGGTTACATCTTTACAGATTTTTAGATAGGCACTGATTCTTTCTTTTTCTTCTCTTATTGATAGCAATTTTCATTAGATATAAACTTAGTGGTTTTGTTAGAGGGGAAAGACAATGATTGGTCAACTCAAACAGATTTATAATATAACTATAGGAAATAGCTAGTACTTAGTCTAGATTTATTCAATTTACTTGTATTTCTTTTGTATAAATTTAATAAAGTTACTAGCAGTGTTACATCATTAAAAAAAATGCTCATTAAATATTAATTGTTTAAATAATTAAAACTAATATAAAAGACAATAAAAGACAATAATACATAA